ATTAGTAACAAGAGAGGGGACACAACAATATGCACAGTAAATAAATTGATGGTTGTCGAATGCCTGCAACAAACAATGGGTTAGTAACAAGAGAAAGGACGAGTATGAGACGCGCGGCCACCCTCCGCGACGGCTCACGAGAAAGTGAGGAAGCTAACGCCGTTATGTATTGGGCGTACGCAGGTTTGTTCGTGTTGAATTGTTTTTGCCGACTTGAACGACCTTCCTCTTTGAACGACCCAAACACCGGATGGTACCTCCTGGTACGGCGTACACGGCTAGGTCAATAAACTGTGTGACGCACGTCACTAGCGCGTTGGACCGACCGAGAGCACCGATACCTCGGCACGCTCTACCGTACTCTCTCGCTCGCACACCTCCTCCCATACACCACCGAAATTCTTCGGCACGCGTCAACACCGAAGGAGAGCACCGATACCGCGGCTCGCTCTATCGCTCTCGCTCGCACGCCGTAACGTCACCCGATTCCCGGAATCCCGCGGTTTCGAGATGGCTCATTACGGTAAGGCATTCCCGCAAGGGAAATTGTAAGCCGCCGGCCAAAAGGTAGATTTAATAAATTATTTATGAAACTACATCTATTCTGAATTTATCTGTTACAAATATACAAATGTAAAGCAAGATATAAAAACGAATAAAACAAGAACATGTAAAAAGTAACATTAGTAAAATGTCCATTAACGATGCATTTAGAATAAATTGTCTTGTAGTTAAGTGAAAAAATATATACTTTTCCGTTTCATGTTTCATGACTGTCATATTTATCCCTTAACCTTAAACTGAAGCATCGGATATTTTTATTCTCGTGAAATCATATAGATACACGCAATATAAATGGAATATATAACACTTCATTTGTGCTAATATTACTCAGAATTCATGCTTTATCGGTAACGTCGGGTATTGACACGAAGATGGTAACAGGGCTACGTAGCCCTATGAACGTGGGACAGAAAAAAGCATTGGATGATAGGTCTATTCTATACCTAGTCGGTGATACAACACATAAGAAAGGCAATATGTATAAGAATGCAATACTGATAATAATAACAAGCAGACAAAACAAACGGTTAAACAAATTGTTACCTTCTACTAACCTCTCTAGATCTGCTACCTTCCCGCGCTGAAGTCACTGACACATATTTATCACACATAATACTTCTGACCACAAGAGCGTGGTGATATATTTGCACACTGAATCGGTAACGTTGGATATTGACACTGAAATGGTAAGGGGGCTTCTGACGCCCTCGAAGCATGGGACAGAAAATTACATTGCATGTTAGGTCTATTCTTATATTTCGTCTGTGCTGGTAGTACTAAAATTATCGAACCGACAATTATCGAACGTCTACTGTACGTAAGACAAGCAGTAACAGTGGGAATATGACAATTCACAATTTATACATATTTTCCAAAAATGGAACGTTACTGTATTACACTGAATGGAGTAGACTGAATAAATCTGGAATCACAAAAGAAGAGGTAATTATGAATGAGTCGAAAATCATTTACTGTAACATAAAGAATGTATATCGTTTCTAACCTCAATATCGTTTACATCTTACAACTTATTTGTTTAAAATCAGTAATAAATACTTTAAAGGAAAGAAAAGAAATCTGTAATCATATAAAATTTAGGAAGCTAAATTGATGTATGGAATGCTATTTTCCATTAAATCCTTTGTAAGTAAAATATCACCACTGGACCCAAACGAAGGATTTTTGTATTTCAAAACTAGTAAATACACATTGCACTATTTTGAAACTCCCTCTGGATTGAAATTTGTTTTAAATACGGATAATATTTCACAGAATGCTAGAGAATTGTTACAACAGTTATATAGAGAGGTAGGTAATTAATTTGTAGGAAATATTCTTAATAGAAGCATCAACTATTTGAAAAAATAAATTTTATGAAATTCGAGTACTAAATTATGTAAATAGGCACTCTTTTCCAGGTTTATTTAGAATATGTAGTAAAGAATCCATTATGCCAATTAAATGAACCAATTCAAAGTGAACTGTTTAAATTAAAAGTAGACGAATTGTTTAAAAAGTCACCGCTATATTTAAGTAGAACAATTTAATTTGTAATGTTTATAAGAAACGTATTGTATGTAAATATAAGGATGATGAATATTTAAAACTTACTAAATATTTCCACTTAATGATACCATCCATGTTTAAATATTGAATTTATAAATATAGGTACAAAAATAAAAAAAATTGATCAAGTTTGTGCAGCATAACACTATTATTATTATTTAATGAAATATACATCTTACATTATACATTGTTGTATCTACGAATTTACATTCATCGGAAATGTACTATATTAAATAATTTTCGAAATACAATAAAATGTAATTTTCATACAAAATGTACAATGGCAAAAGAAGCTTGGAGAAACTAATACTAAACGTTGTTAAAGTATAAGTTGATTTCTTAGAGACACGTATATTATTTATATTATCATATGAAAAATTGCACCTCACTTTATATCAACGAAATGTACTTTTTTAATTTTTTATATTTGAAATCGTTACTTAAAATGCGTAAAAATATTGGTGAAAATGCATGTCATTATAAACTTTTCTGTATTAAATTTGCCTTTTTCCAAATAAAATAAAAAGCGTACTAAAGTTTATTACACTCTGTAGTATACTGAACTGTATACCATTGCGTGTGCTATAAATGCATAAAATACGCAGTCTAATTATTAGTGACCCGTGCATAGTATTACATAAAGGTGCATATATGGGCAAGAAAAAACAAATCAAAGCATCTGACATGTTTAATAAAGCACCTGAAATGATTGTATATAAATTACGGAGAATAAAAATAAATTATTGTAAGTGAAAGGTAATATATTACTATACCTTTTCCAGTGGTAATATTAGACATTTCTCCTAAAAACCGTAACGTTCAGCGTTAAGACATATTCATTCTGCGGAGATACATCTCATACTATATATTTCTTCATACATCAAGGGACAACGTTTAGAAAATTTGTTCATATACAAAGACGCTTACGATACTTGTACACCTGGAAACATTATCGACGAATTGAAGAGCATGTCATGCACAGAAAACAATGATTGTTACTTGACGTAAAATGCTACATTATAAAGTCTTCGCGATTTCTTTATAATTTCTCATCATTTATTAATAATGATTATTTGATGATATACCATATAACAATTGTGTCAATTTTTTACAAACTTGCATTTGCTTACGAGCAGACGAATTCTAATAAATCCAGTACTTTAGATTTGTATACACTACGCTTTGCATACAAAAACATAATCTCTTGGGCGTTACAATATCCATCGACTCTCGAAAAATATTGGCACAAAACTAAAAATCGTTTACATTAAGGTGATCTCCTAATGCCAAATCATTGTAACAAAGGCCTGTGTACGAATGTGTTAACATTTTTGCACGCACACATTTTCGAAGCATAATTGGTGTGTACTGTTCACTTCGATGTAATTCGCTTTACAAAGCGAGTGTCAGCTTGTTCCCTCTATTGCACTCATAGTACACTTATACATGGTGTGCATAAATAGAATTAATCCAACGTTAATGTATGCACGCGGTGTACACTTCAATACATATATACACACATATGTAAATGCTCCTCTACGTATCTCGTATTTAAAAGACGCGTGTACATTATTACAGAAATACTCAGTCTTCGCTTTCTTTTTAAAAGTGTACATTGTTCTCCGCGTTAGTGCTGTTACTGCCTCCGTAAGCATGTTTACTGCGTGGATCCACAGGGAAAGATTCTTCTATCACCGATAATCGCTTCTCGCAATTCGTAGATACCGTATAACTATGGAAGAAGACATTTCTTAAAGTGGCCAAATTAACTCGTTCCCGTGACACATTATCGTCCGCCCACGTGTCACTCTTCGAATCACCATTAGAAGTTCTAAACAGTAAATTCATGTAAATATACAAAAAATGCACATAACGTGCAATAGATCGTATTTCATGAAGCATATTATATTTACTCATACTTCGAAGTTTATTGAGCATCTGTTTCCTGGTCTGTCTCTTTGTTGCGTTTACGCCTTCCACCGTTTCTAGTGTTCACGCCACACGTGCTGACAATTCCCTCCTGATCTGCTTCAATAAAACTGACATGGTCATCGAACCTGACGCGTTCGGAGCCGCCATCTTCTGCGCCGACAGTCCGATTACTTGAATCACTGCATTGACGATCTAATGTCGGTTTGCGTCTAGCCCGTTTTGCTAAACCAGGCGCTACCTCCTCAAGTGAACTTAAAGACGTAGCTTGTCCAGCTGAATCCATGTGTCCGCCGGCAACCGAGCCAGCCACTTGTTCACCTTCCGTACTTCTTCCGCCGCTTATTGAACTGCTATCCATCTATATGTACAATATATTCAATCAAATTAATGGTAAACACTACCAAATAAAACATTGGCAACAATATGAAATACCTTGAAATTTAGAACAGAGCCCGCTAAAGCTCTCGTAGAAGCTGCCCCATCGTCCAAAGCAATGGATGCATTGACAGACTTTTCAGATAAACTGGTTGTGGCGGACGCGGTTTCACTGCATAAGCTAAAACGCTGCGTGGACGTCACGTCCGCTTGAACTTCCAATCTAGTTCGTAATGGGATGCGAGCGTAAATTTTACATAATATTTCTAAGTACAGGGTGTCGAGAAATTACATATCGCGGATACTATAGCCGGATACCTACACCTTCGATTTGGTGGAGATACATGTAAAAACATTTCCGCAAAATTGACCTTGACCTTTAAATTCAAGGTCAAGCTCAATTTTGCGGCAATGTTCTCACCTGTATCCCCATCAAATCGAAACTGTAAAATTCTGCTATAGTAGCCGCGACATGTAATTTCTTGGTACTCTGTACATATGTATAAATTATACGAATGAGAGAAATGTAAAGTACCTCTGACCTCCCGGAACGACGCTACTGGCGCTCTCACGATCGTTTTCGCGACCCAGCTTTTCTAATTGACTTCCACTACCCAATGAAAGTGAAGCTTCTCCTATCGAAGGATTACCACCGCGATGACTCGCAACATCTATCGATGCCGCATCTACAGTACATATACTGTTTAGTACTACGTTTAGAAATCATTGATGTAATTTATGAAAAAGACGAAGACAGAATCAACTTGAGGGACTCTTTTTCTACTTCTCATTCCTAGTTTCTCCCCCCGGTTGGATGATGATTACAGTTAATCTAGTCTCAATTGGCTACCCAAGCTACTCTATCAGTAATAAACCACAATAAGTACAACGTCCACTATTAGAAAATCCTACTTTACTATTTGAGTAATTAGCCAACTACTGTTTGGTAGAGAGGGTACAAGTATTCAGTAACATCAACCGTCACTTCATTTTGATCGAACAACAGTGATGGGATCAAGCATACAACATTGTCGGTCATTATTCGAATAATAAAGTCTTAGAAGAAATAAAGAGAAAATAAACAAAAATTATTCCTATATAATCAAAACCTGCCAAATAATTGTTAAATGATTCGGAAAGTATATTATCTTCTTCAGACGTATCTGGTAAAGGTGACAGATCTTTTGCTCTAATATAATGTAATTGATATTATTTAACAATGCAAATTGTTGTTTTGTCCTGGATAAAAGTTTTGCAATTCGTTGATAAATAAAAAAAACAAATGGATATATTCACCTCCACCGTTTCGGGCACCCAAAGAACCCATGAGTTCATTTTCATCGTCCAAATCGAATCGTACTCCCGTGCCGTTTGTGAAAACACCGCAACCTCCGCTGCGACAGAGAGAAACCGGAACGACGCCGTAGACGTAAAATAATAAAATGGGTACACCAATACCCACGGTCAGTCCTGCTAGTATTGGCGATACTAAAACCTGCAACAATTGCACGAAGATCGTAAGTAACACAATGATTCGAATTTTTGTAGATAACTTTATCTGATACGTACGAGCAACAGATAAATCTTTCGTGGACGTCAAAATAAAACATTCGCAATTTATTAAAAACACCACGAATGTATTGGGATGAGTCACAAATTTCTCTTTTTCAATCTTACTTTCGTTGAAAACAAGGGAAAATTTATTTTTATCTACTATACACATATTTTTTATTAGTAGGACATGTTACAAATGACTACTAACTTCAGAGAATTTTTATTATTACTATTCATTTCTCACTCATTAATTTTCACTTTCTACTACGAAAGTTATTGCTGATACAATTCAAAAATAACAATCATCATTGCAGGCTTTCATTTTATTTTCAGTACTATGGCATACTTTAATGAAACCGACATTTTATTATATTACTCGCTCGTAAACGATATAAACTTATAAAATCTGCAGTCTACCGTTTTAATAAGAAAACTTTATTGAAACGTTAAACTACTGCTTCTAAAACGATGTTTCCGTGATCGTTGTTCCAACATTAAAAGCAAAAGTAACTGATTGTATGTCAGTCATCAAGTATTCGAAGTTTGATGGAAATATAGTGCAACTACCATTCTGTCTTAACTTATGAAAACTAAAAATCAGAAAGTTTCGTATGAACTTCCGTATGATGTTCTATTACGGTATGCACTTTCATCCGTAGTTCGAGTTATTATTCCATAGTTTCATGCTGCCGAAAGTTGGCAAATGCATGGTGCACAATTCAGAATTATGTGTTTTCTCTCACAAAACCTTCCATGCAGAGGGAAAAACCGCAATAACTCAGAAAATGTTTCAGATACACCCTATGCATCAGTTTTCATTTTTGACCACGAATGTATAGAAGTATGCAAATTGGGTATGTGTGAGGTATCTTCATTTTAATTGTAGATACATATACCCGTATTTGTATAATATCGTGATGAGATCTTATTAACGATATGCAATTGTTTTTCTGTTGTGGCATACAGCACTGTAAAAAGAAGATAAACGTAACAGCACACGAGACTTGCAAACAAGTTCCATACTTTCATGGTATTCAAAGTAAATAGGACGCAGAATAGCTGGTTTTCAATACTGCGCAACCTTTAGTGTTAATTAAACGTTCAGAAAATACGTTATTACGGTCATAACAGTTTTAACATCAAAGGAAGTCAGAAAACATTGCGTATATATACAGGGTGATCAAATATTCATACAAAAGTTTTATATACATGGAGCATTCAATATCTATGAATATCATGTTAAAGAGGCCTGACCTATGTAAATATTCAGAATGATGAATGCCCAAAGGTAATTATCATTTTTAAAACAAATATTTTAAAATAGACATAAGAAAATAAGAGCGTATACATAATTAAAAGTCAGAATATCCTTCTAGTCCATAACATTCTCGTAGAAATACCCTGGCACTTACCTTCAAAAATAAAAAAATACTAACCATGAAAACTTGAAAAATCGAGTACTCATGTTTTGATTTAACTTCGTAGACAGAGAACTTTAAATGCTTTTTCGACAATCATTAGATACTTTATTTCGTCAGTGATATTAAAAAGAAGTTGCGTTATTAGTATTTCTTCTTAAAAAAATGTATCGTACTAAAATAATTTTTGGCCGTTCAGGTCATAAGTATGTATACCTATCCTATTGTGGGTATGTAATGAAACTGGTCCAAAATTAGGAATATATGTACACTCATTGCAGGCAATTTTTAAGTTTTAAATATTAAATGTTTTTAAGAACAAATAATTTATTTATTTTCTTTCACACAAACGATTTTTTATTTTATCTTTAAGTCAAATAGATATCTTCTAAAATAATTGGGCACATAATTTCTTATTCTTTGATTCCAACAATCTGTAATAGATTTCGTGACGTACAAGATATCCAATGGTAAATCGAATAGAAAAATTTTACAGTACAGTACACACGACTTCTTATCCAATACTCTAAATAATCCTTCATCTTATCTGGAAGTATTATTTTAAAAATGGAATTATGGATATATTACGATATCTTCATTACTTTCGATTTTTCGGGTGTCTAATATTATAAATTTTAACAGACCCAGAAAATACGATGGAACAGTTTATTCAGAAGCGTCTCATCATTGATTCATACTCCAGGGCAAATCAATAATACTGGAAAAACAACAAGTGATCTTAGAGCACACGTACTTGAAGCGCTCGTAAAATTTCAGGTACAAATTTGGGTGGAAATTTTACGGATTTTCAGACGACACGCCCAAAGGAGAACAAATGATGATTTAGAACACGATGTCCCTCTATACAAATCGCGGGTACATGTCGCCCTGATCCAAGTGATTAGCGGTACAGACATAGTGATCTGTTTTCTAGATTTCCATCGAGCGTGGAAAGGAGCATTGGGCAGAGGAACAGGAGACAGAGAGAAAGTGCATGGAGAGCAGAAGGTGTGGGAGGTGCGGAAGGAAGGATATTGATCGGCGGTAGGAGTGCGCGCATGGGAAATCCTCTCTGTCCCACCCTGCGGCCTGCATCCACCTAGGTAGGTGACGATAGAACGTGCATCGTGTCAGTTGGTACTTTAAGATCCACACTGCGCTACGATCAAAGGACCACCGAAAGAGAGAACAGTCGGATCGGGCAAGTTGGTGCTTTCTGCGCCAAGGGTGTGTCGCGACTGAAAACGGTGAGATCCCCAATGAAAAGACGTCGAACTACGCCGGCCCGAATGTCCGAGGACCGGTCGACGTAACAGGAAGTCGAAGTGAACACGCGACGAATTCATTCATATACTTGGCAATTTCACAAAGCGTCAACGACGGACCCGTGTTGTGCTGCTATGTGAACGGTCGAACAGGCGCGTTCTGCCTATTATCATTCCCGAGCGTGGATGTGCTACATTAGCATCGATTGGGGAGTAGACGCACGATACACATCCGACCTATCACGCTGTAATACTCTCTCCTCATTTTCCCTCTTTTTGGTTAACGATACAAGCCCTGCGGGTATCGGTGTTCCGTGTACGATCGAGTAAACAAAGGAGGGAAGGACCGGAAAACACGGAATCATGGCGAATTGGGATTGGAAAGACATGGATTGGGAAGATGCGGAAGACTCTTCCAGCGAAACGGAGGAGCAGAAGCCGGAGATTGATAAGGAGTGGCTTGAGGGGATCCTAAGGGAATTTCACAAAGAACCGGTTAGTTCGGTAGGAACTATGACTTCCAATTTACGGTTGCCTGTAGGAATGTTTGCGCGGTCGTTTCAACGGCTATACTACTTTATTAGCGATGCAAACGCGGTGCCATTGAACACGTAGCATTGCGAGTATTCTTGAATCGTTTAAAAATTAACCCGTAATGTACAGGTCACAATAACCGAGTGTAACGTAAACCCGGGCTGTATGAGTAACGAAAGTGTGCTGAGCACTATAATTAGCGTTAAAGTCAAGTACGTGTTGAACGAGTCAAACGCCACGCAGGACCTTTCTCTTATCGTGAAAGAGCTACCGAAAGATGCGTTCAGTCGTTTTTTCGTTAACGAGGGCCAGTTCGATCTCCGAGAGATTAAGTTTTATACGCAGGTAAGCGATCACCCACCCATTTTCCCGCATTAACACCTCCGGATATCCGATCCAATGAATAACAAATCTGACTCTATTTGCATCAGGTCATGCCAAACTTGAAAGAGTTCCAAAAAAAACAGCTGGCAGTAGAGGATACCGGTGAGAATCTTAATAAACCGGGCGAAGAGATTCCTCTGTCGGTACCCGTCTGTTACCACGCGCAATACACTCCAGCAGAGGAAACCGATGACACTCTTACGACACCGGATTCAATTCTAGTGTTGCAAGACCTTCGTGACTCCGACTTTTGCAACATCAAATTCCGAAAAGGAATGACCTACGATCAGACTAAAGTCGCATTGGAAGCAATAGCGCGTATACATGCGCATTCCTTGGCGATGAAAGTCATCGAAGGGCAGTCACTATCCGAACGTTATCCATTTCTCTTTCAAACAGCGAAGGCGACGGATTCGTATCAACAACTGGTCGAGCGTGGACTGCCGCAACTTGCAAAATTTTTGAAGAATACTGGATTGGAGGCGATATTAGATGCTCTACTCATCTTAAGACCAAAGACTAAGCACATAATATCAGCATTACTTGCACCGGAAGGGCCACTGACCCTGATCACACATACAGATTTCTGGTGCAATAATCTGTTGTTCAAAGATGGACCAAATGGCCTCGAATGCTGCATTCTCGACTGGCAAATGGTCACCTACAGCAGACCGACCAACGACATCGCTTTGTTAATAGTGAGCTCTTTGCCCACCGACCTGCGCCGAAAGCACACCGAAGCCTTTCTCGATATCTATTGGAACGCTCTAACCAGCACGTGCTCTCGTCTCAGTGTTGATATTCCCAAAGATTTGGGTTACACGAGAGAAGACCTGAGTAACGATTACAGACGTTCGCAACTGTTAGCGCTTCTGCTTTGCATCGGTTCGGTAGACGTTGCCCTTGGTGATCCTGACACTGAACAACGACTGATCGATGTTTTGAAGGATCTTCATAGCGAGGGCGTATTCACGGATGAAACTGCCATTGCTACGAGCGAGAACGATTCTTAGTTAGCGTTAATGCCGCTCATGATATTGCTGCTGTGAATTAATAATCTACGCAAGATGTAAATCAAATGAGCGACGGTTATAGAACCGAGGGTTCAACGAACCATGGACACTCAAAGTTCAATCAATGTGATCCTGAACAAAAGGCTTGTGTCGATAACGGTGTAATTGCGGGTAGTTAAAGAAGTCGACGTTCAAATGCCGCTAGCATGGGAAGTATAGCGTTAACGGTAGAACTTTGCGTTCGAAAATGTTTGGTAATAAAGAAAGTATTAACGAATATGTGTAGGAAATTATCTCTTGGATATGTATTCGTAAGATATTCAATTATTCTTGCGAAAGTTGTTTATGTTTTGGTATGACTTGAGTAAGCATGACACCAATAAATGTTAAATGGAATTATAAAAGTAAAAATGATGGAAGAATTAAGTAATTGCCAATAACCTGTATATTATACAGTAATTTCGACCTGAAACTCTTAAGTCAATTATCTACTAGACTGATTTAATTTAATATCGTTTCACTGACTAAATTTCTTCCCGCAATTATTAAAACGGCCATAAAACCGATAGTCTGTTATCGCTAATTTATACACGCAGTAATTATATTATTCTCTTTCTTTGTACAAACTACATAAAGAAAATATACCTTGATGTTGTCATGAACTTGTAGAAATGGTTGTGTTTTAATGCCTAATAGTCATTTCTGAATAATGTCTTCAAATTATTAAATTTCTTTTATTGGTATGTTTCATTGGTATTCCTTACGCTTAAAATTGTCTTCCAAAGAAAACGTTCCCATAATTTTTATCCAAGTTTCATATATATTTAACTATAACGATAAATAATTTAATAATTGGAATAAAAATAATATTTTCACTTACCGATGCAGTTACTCCACCAACAATAAAGGCATTCCTCTTGTGCTTGTTCGCCTTCTCGTACCTTGTATATAATTCTTTTCCTACCCATACTGGTATACCTGTAATAAGCAATGTATATTTAAATACATATAATCACATGCTCCGACGGAATGTTCCACCATCAGAAAGAAATATATCCACATAAGATTTTATATGTATGTCTAGACTCTAGAGCCAGAGTAGTGTCGCTTTTCAAACTTGGAACCGTTCGATAAGAATTTAATGAAAAACAATCACTACCTCCGAATTATTGACTGGACTTATGACAAGTCTCAATATGTAGGAATGGTGAACAGTGCATTAAGTCCTCTATGTGATGGATTTTACACTGTCCGGCTAGGAACATGATATGGAGTCAATATCATTAGTTACACTATTATATTAAAAACTCAACAACTTAGACCGAAATAATTTTTACCATAAGAAGGAGTGAAAAATTTGATAGGGGAAACGTAAAATGTAATTTTTTTTTAAAAGTGGACTTAATACCCTTTCGCTCTGGAATTCAGATATACATACAGGATGTCTCAGCTAACTTTATCACCTTGAATAATGACTTAACGGTACACTTTATGAAAATTTTGAGGCATGGAACTTAAATGACACGAAGGGGCACATCTTATAATGTACGTGCTGCTGCTCTGAGTAAAAATGTGTTGACCTTCATACGTCCCAAACCTAATAGTTAACGAGATATTTACAAAATAATTTTTAATACATACTTACTATCTGGAAGCTATACGTGCTCGAACTGATGCCCCTCAACTTCAACACAGTGATTATTTTGTAAATATCTCGTTAACTATTAGGTTTAGGACGTATGAAGGTCAACACGTTTTTACTCAGAATTTGATACTTTATTGGTCTGTGGTATAAAAGGTAGGTCATTCCGTTAAAAAAATCAAGGTGACCTTGAAGACTCACAAATGCTTCCACCCACAAAAAAAGCACGTAGATTATAAGATGTGCCCCTTGATGCCATTTAAATTCCACGCCTCAAAATTTTTATAAAGTGTACCGTTAAGTCATTATTCCAGGTGATCGAGTTAGCTGAGACACCCTGTATATTACTCACCTATAATCATAGCAGGTACAGCTATACCGGCTGCAAGACCAATTCCAACAGGAGCCCCAACCAAAGTTCCAAGTTGCCACAGTATTTTCTTTTTCCTGGACCATGGTTTTTTGCCCCAGAAGGTACAACCAGAAGGGCTGTAAGTAATTACAGGTTCATGTAGTCAGAAATTATATAACAAATTCAACCTTTAAAATGATCACCACATAATAATTCATAATACCTTAAGTAATGAAGATCACTAATCTCCTTCATACACAACCAACAAAATTCTGCCCCACAAACAGCACAAACCATGTGATTACAACTTCCATCATCCATTTTGACAATTAAAATCTGACATCTCGGACAAGGTTTCATGTCATCTCCTATGAAATAAATTTGCAGAAAAGGTTATACTATACTATTTTTTTAAGACCATACAATATAAATAAGAAATACACACTGTGCTGTGAATCACTTTGACTAAAACTGAGAGATGAGCTACGTTCATAGTATTGAGTACGTTGAGCTCTAGCAGCATCACACGTTTGATTAGGGTGCCATCCTGCTTTACAGTGGTAACAAAAGTATGAATCACACCCTGGCCGTTCACAGCGCAACTTTGGGCATGAAGCACAACCACTTGCAATAACAGCAAAGCTACAGTCTGGTGCTGGACACCATCTTGCATCTGGTTCCACAGCAAGAACTCTTCGTACCATAAAATCCTCGTATTTTTCCAACTGTGTTTGGTCATTTAGAATCATTCGAATATCTGTATAAAAACCCATTAGATGAATTGATAGAACCTTTAAACAGTACAATTTATTTATTTTTCTTTTAAGTAGAAAAAAATGCTTACCATTTGGATGTAATGGTTCTGAACACTCAGGACAAGCTATATTAACTCTAGATTCTGATATTTTAACTTTAAGATATTGTTGAAAGCAGTCATAACAACTGCGATGATGGCAAGATTGTACCACAGGAAAAAATTCTACTGGCGATTCAGTCAAACACAAGTGACATTCCATTAAGCCATTTTCACTGCTCTGGAATAATTATTTTACTATCTTTGTATTTGATCTAATTATTGATTAGCCTAGATAACTAGAAATTAATATCAATAGGACAAGTCCTAAAAACTTCAGCACACAAATGTATTCTATAAATACCTTTCCAGCAGAAGAAAGTACAGAGCCTTTACTGGAAGCACGTTGCAAATCTATGTTCTGAAACTGAAAATGGCTGGAACCATTACTTACTCTGGCTTCTCCTTTTTCAACATCTGTAACTCTGCCACCAGTTGAATCTTTAGCTAAAATAATACTTAACGTTTAAAAAATAACTTATTCACCCCTGTTCTTAAGTTGTCAAACATTATTCATTACCTTTAGTATTCCTGTTGCTTGAACTGGGTGTTCTTGTAATTCGCCGACCAATAAGTGGACTTGAGTACAACAGTCGGCGCAGAGAAAATCGTGGTAACATTCGTCGTGGTCGGGGTGCTGCAGTGCTGCAGCCCCCAGAACTGCTATCATTTTCTTTGAACATCTTGAGAGGTATGTAGAGTCACTACAGTCTCATTTTTCGTTTCACAGATTCAAAGTAACTTGACCTGTATTAAACAATACATAGTAAAAAAACTTGAATGAAACAAAAGTTTCAAAAGAAATCAACATACAACACTTTTGCGACATGCATGTCAGTATTCCATAATCTAATGTCTCATGACAACACTTGTAGAGCATAGAATGTAGGTATAAGTTACTTGCAGCATTTAACAATGTAGAAAAAACGTATACTCATATATAAACGTATCATACATAATATTACGAATGATTATACTTTGCATAACGAATGCACGTGTAGCGTTACATTTATCGTACCCAACATACTTATGAAATAGACAATTAATAAAGCTGTAAGTTGTTCCCGATTATTGTTACCATATAAATGAATTTAAATAATTTCTAGGAAATGCGAAATGTTAATCGGCCTATTATTACAGTGAGAGATTTATCGTACTTATTTATCACGTGAATGTTTCGGTAATTGTATTTAATTTCAGACGTTCGTTCTTAATAGCACGTATTTGCACAATTTCTATAATTTTTGCACGAATTCCGTTTATTCTTAATTTCTTATAGATATTGACTTTTCTACTTTCACTAAAAAGGGAATTATATAGTCTGTCAAGACACTTGTCATCAATTACGATTTCTCCGCAGTCATGAGGCGAATAAGTAATCAGTATTTCGAAATCTTCAGTGTGTAACACGACCATCTAACACATTAATTTAATACAAATTGATTTATACTTATTTCAAAGATATTATGGTAAGATATAATGGATCAAGTAACATACTATCGTAAGATTATACTAATTTATTCTTTCAAGGAACCAAATCGAAATGAGTAAAGTATACTCGATTCGAAATAATATTTTGCGACCGAACGCATGAATCATAGTGAATCACGAAAATAAAACCATCAATGCCATGCAACGATTGTAAATGCTATAATGTAATTACGATACCACTTCATTGTGCAAATTTTACATTAGTATATTTTCCACTTGGTAATTCAACAAATGTACGAATGGTGGAACATAAATCAACGTGACGTTCATTCGCAAAAACAGATTTACAAATGCTTCTTGCACTAAGTGTAAACATAATTATGATAATTAAAAACGCAAATTTTGTGCGAGATACAAAAAAATCGCCATTTGTAATGAGCTTGAACGTGCGTTGCATGAAACATACAAGTAATATGTACATATATGTTTTATCATGATCGACATTTTTTCTTCGATAACATTAAATATTAGTCCCAATATCATGGAATAACACTTTTCTTTAAATTCAATCATTTAAAGACCAGTATCATCAATTTGAATTTTATACTAAGAAATTTTACGTATAAATGACTAACGCTAATACAGGTGTAAGAAATCTATGAGCAAACGTTCACTAAGGTTGATCTGACCAATATGCACACTAACCTTGTTTCCGCTAACAAATGTTTTCAAAATTATGACACTTTTAGTAAAAAGAAACAGAAATACTATTAGAAGGTCACGCACTATTGTTAAGTTTCATTTATTTTGTTGGTTACGGATGTCAACTTGACACAACAGCTGACGGCTCCCGACAGTTCCCGACTAGAGGCCATAGACATATATAATGATATATGTATAATAGACTGTGCGGTCTCATGGTAGGGATGAAGTCGGCATAAGAGAGAGAGGACAATAACTGGAGTATTTATTCTCTTTTTCTAATGGGGCTTTTGGTGGGGGATTCTCCTACGGCTGTAGTGGAGGCTAGTGATACGCACCATCGACTAATGACTATTTAGTCGCAACATACTATCGACTATTTAGTCGATAGTTTTTAGTCGACTGAAATTTTGCTTTATAGGTTATGTATAGATTATGCCGTCAACTTTTCAGCACCATTGGTGTATTTACCTTTTAGAAATGTATTAGTTCATAGATAGAATTTCAAAAATATAAGTGGTAAACAAGTTTTTTTAAACAATGACTAATATTCGATTTTTTGTAAGCTATTTAATAATAGCACTTAAAAAATTAACTGTACTAAATTTTTTATGAAAATCAATTGGGTTGTAAGCAATAATTTGCACAGTTCTTGGTAATGCATAAAAAAATATATGAAAAAATTGCAATTGGTTTGCATCACGAAGAAAATAATCACGATCCAGTCAATAGCTCGATAGTTCGAGCGAGTCGCTTGAAGCGACTAAATTTAGTCGACCGCAGTAGTCGCTTCAAGCGACTAATATTAGTCGCCTGAAAGTAATCGCTTCAAGCGATTAATATTAGTCGCCTGAAAGTAATCGCTTCAAGCGACTAATATTATTCGCCTGAAAGTAATCGCTTCAAGCGACTAATATTATTCGTCTGAAGTTAGTCGCTTCAAGCGACTAATATTATTCGTCTGAAGTTAGTCACTTCAAGGGACTAAAGTAGTCGACGATTAAAAAAATTAGTCGACTGAAAGTAGTCGTTGGTTACTATCGACTTAGTCGATAGTTTTTAGTCGATGGTGCTCATCACTAGTGGAGGCATTGCATGCATGGACCCATCATGGACCTAAAGGACAGAGCTTAGACAAGCCAACGTGAAGCCAAGATAACGGGGAAAGTGTGACGTCATTCTGGGCAACAGATAATTCAAAATGGTGGATACTGCATGACTGCATCAGACGCGTACTGATGCGTACTAATAAAATGAAAACCATTGATAATTTCCTAACAGAAAATTTTGAAAATGATGCGTTTCATGAAAATAATGACCATAATTATTATGTAACAAGTCAAAGTTATTCCAAAGATCTGTCATTATATATATCAGATGTTGTGGAATATATTGCTGGTTTTGTGGTGCGAAAAATAAAAAATACTGTACAGTGTGAAGTTTGAAACCGATATAATCGGATAAGCCATTTGGTAATTTTATAAACATTAAAAATTATAGTACCATTAGACAAGCTTTAATGATACCGTCGACTGATGTCATATACATATTTGTAAGATAGCCGAAGCAGAGATAAGAATTTTAGAAAAAACAGATCAACTGTTACAAAGAAACGTGTTACAGAAGTTAATTACAAAAATCATGAGTAATGTTCGTACAGACATATTTAATCAATATCATGAACACATGTACGATAATAATGTCGAATCCAATCACATTATCCGTTTAATCAAAGTTATAACAAGCTATACATTATATATAAGCTTTCATTATTGCAATATCTGTTTATATTATAAAGGAAATAATTTATTAACAAATAATAATCGAATAAGGAGTAAACTTACTAAAACTATTTTATTTTACAATCAATAGTTGCAAATAAATAATTTTTCTCTGGACATCTATATTGTTCTTCCTATTTTTTAAAACTAAAGTAAGTTATAAGGAAATAATTACAGATTGAATATTATTAACATATCAATTAAAATTTAATTTTTTGAAATTATAATTTCCAAAATTCGTTATAATTAAGCACTATTTAAAAATATAAGAGTAAAGTAAAAATGAACAACTAATAAAACAAAATATATATTTTAGACTTAACAATGATTACATTGAATTTCTGTAAATATCTATAGATCTATAGATATGGTTTGAAAGTAAAAGCGTTCATCATTCCTTTCCCCACACATAACGTCACGTAGATGATTTTATCTTTGCGACAAGGAAGTTATCTGAAGCCGCATCTATAAGTATATATGATCTAACGGACAAGCTTTGTTCTTAGGTGATGTGCCGAAAGACGGAAGGGGAATCAAGCGTCAGCCATCTTGGGAGGCTAAATTGGTAGTGCACTCTGCAGGCGAGTTTAATTATTAATACCAGCGACGAGGTATAGAATAGACTTATCACCCAATGCTTCTTTCTGGCCCACGTTCGCAGGGCTACGTAGCCCTGTTACCATTTTAGTGTCAATACCTGACGTTACCGATAAGCATGAATTTTGAGTATTATTAGCACAAATGAAGTGTTATATATTCCATTCATATTGCGTATATCTATATGATTTGACAGTTTAAGGTTAAGGGATAAATATGACAGTCATGAAACATGAAACGGAAAAGTATATATTCTTTCACTTAACTGCAAGACAATTTATTCTAAATGCATCGTTAATGAACATTTTAGTAATGTTACTTTTTGCATGTTCTTGTTTTATTCGTTTTTATATTTTGCCATATATTTGGATATTTGTAACAGATAAATTCAGAATAGATGTAGTTTCATAAATAGATTATCAAATCTACTACATGTGGGAGAATATACACCGCTTTTATTAACATTTACATATTTATAATTTATATGGGAGTATGAATAGTTTTACTGCCTATTGTAAAAATCTTAATACGCACGAACAATTACCCTCTGGCAATTGGTAAATTTTTACATATGAATTTACTTACACGTTATTTACTTACAAAAATTTTATTTATTGCGAGTAATTAAATAATGAACGCATGTTAATATTCAGTTACGTACAGTAGTTTGATGCTAGGTATTAATCCCTTAATTGCAGACTACTAAAAATGCAATTGACGATTTAAAAATTTTTTTTCAATGTTCTCGGTATTGTTCCATCTTTCTATGATATACATCTTGTAGAGAAAAAATGATTGTTTCAGTAAATATTATTATGAACACCGCAAACAAATAGGAACAATGTTTAAAAAGCAGCTAAATTGAAACAATTTGAATTCCATTATGCATCGACGATAAACTATGGCCTAAGTTATGGAAGTACATATTTGGAAAAAGAAACTGCTTTCAAGAAACTATTACATTGTACCTATACATGTAACATAACACATAATTGCACATAATACTAGACATGCAATTGCCAGCAGCTCGTAGCGCGTGCGACCTTGCGCGACGGTTGACATTATACATTTTTTTCGTCATTCTTTCTGATACGATTAATCTTTTTGCAAAATTGTATTTTATAGTGGAAGGTTCAACGAAACGTATTTTTCATAACAACGGAACAGTGGGAACAACTTCCAATCGGCTTTGAAACTTTAACATTAATTATTATTATATCCAGTAACAGGAAATAAAAGTTTGCCTATACGGTTAGAAAAAATATTCCTTTAGCTTTAAAATAAGGGCGAAATCAAAACTCAATGTTTAAAAATAATCACAATATTACGGTTGCAGTGATGTCGTATCGGCTAATTTCATTCAATTTTTCAAACCTTTAACATACCTATCTCGGAAACGGTTCAAGATTAGAAACTAAAATATTACACAATTTAGTTTCTTGTGGTTATCAACAAATGCTGCAAATTCGAACAAAATTGGTCATTAAGATCGCAGTTCTGTGCATTTCGACGTGGAATGGCTCGTTAATACCCGTTTTCAGGATGCTACAAATGTATGCAATATACATGTATCATAGAATTATTAGTAATAAAATAAAAATAAAACTCCGAAGTGTTCCATACCGATTTCAGCGAGCTTGTGCAGGTTCGGGGTCAGATTTGTCGGAATTTGTGTTCGCGTACAAAAAACCAATTACTTTTAATATGCTATTACGAACACGTATATCTATGTATTGTTCCATAAATTTAAACAAACAATATATTTTTTAATTTACAATGACAAATATATTCATTATATACGAAGATCTATTATTTGTTATTTTGCATTATTATTTTAAATAACCAAATATTTGGCAAATAAATCATTCAGAAATAATTTATTTCTGAAATAAGATTTTGGAATTTATTTGCATACATCCTTATTTTCAAATAAACTTATCTGTTATTTCATTTGGAATAAATATTGGCTCTTTTTATTTGTAGTCTTCATTTCAAATCAATAGTACATAAGCCTGCTTTATATAAAGTGAGAGACCTTTTTTTAATACGTTTACAACAAACAGACAGAGGAGAATTCGTTTGCCACATGCGGCAGCGATCTCTTCGATTTATTATTATTATTTATCATTCACTTTTGAGAAAACAAGACTAACAATAACAATTCAATCATCACCAGTTATAAACACCTGTGTATGACAAAATGATCACGTAATTTATTTCAAAATTGGCTGCAGACAAAAAAATGTTGCATAATGTCAATAATATTGATTTCCCCGCAACATCCATAATTATTACAAATGTCAATATAACGAAATATCTTTTATGCCATGTTTATGGTGTAATAAAAATCTGTGTTTCGATTACGTTTTTGATACATATTATTCACTTATATGTAATAATATAGAATAAAAATATACTATTTGTCCGATATTTGAAAATATACATGCGTTCGTTGTCACTGTTAAACTGTTGTAATAACAATGGAAGAATAAAATAATTTACTCAAATGTACATAATAATACATATACATATTCATAAAACCAATATTAAATGCAATAACTTGTTTGTACGCTAAAAAAAACTAATAGGTCCGTCGAGACAACAACCCAAGACTCCTTTCTAAGACGTCTACTTTACAGCGAACGGACGGAAGAGAATCCGTTCGTGACCATGGTCCCTTCGATGATTTTCCGACGTACGGAACACTCATGATCTGACAACATTGCGTACTTTAGACTCGACAACAATGTAGAAATTAGACTAGTTGAGCTCGAATGGATAGAACGTAGTTCCCAAATTCACCGTTCCCATAACGTAGGGGGCAGCAGAAAATCCCTGTCTTTTTACACGATTGGTATTTGAGAACATGAGACAAGAAGTCCCATAAGATGATAGATCTATCCTATACCTAGTCAGTGGTATTACTCATGCTATCTGTGGTACCTATTGGCAAATGGCCGTCGTGCTTCACTTTTGTATGCAACGCTATTGTATGTCGCAGCTAGTGTATTATATAGAAGCTGTGGTCCTATGTGTTGTGCTTACACAGTCAACATGAACGGTCCAACACACCACACACCCCTTGCGATACAACTTTAAGTCCTATGAATATTCTTACATTTTGATGAAAGAATACTAATATAATAGATATTCAAGTAATTATTCAACAATAATGGTGTTGCTATACAATTCCATCAAAATTCTTATCGATATATAACATTTTTATCTTAACGACTGAAATTTCTAAATAAATTTACAGTAATCGATTGCTTTCGGAACGCCATTTTCTTCATTGCTCATCGCGCGATTAAATTTTACTCGGCATAAAGTAGTGCAATGGAATAAAGCGGAGATTATGTAAAACACTCATAATACGTGAATTATACGAGTAACAAAGAAAATTAAAAAAATAATACTTTATTATACAGTAATATATACGTAGATGTGTTTTATATACGGTAGAAGATTTATTTTTGTGATCATCAGAGTATAAATAAAATATGCATGGTTAATGAAAGGTGTACAATAACATTGAAGTATTTGATAAACGATTCGTTTTAATTCTATTCGTTAAAGATCTCTCTGAATGCGTCAATTACATCATAAGGTCAGTTATCAACATTAAGTGCAACGTCAGTAACGCTTTCCTTAAGTGTCATTTGTCTAGCAGATCATAAGATCAAAAAATCGCATATAAAAGGACAACAAAAAAATGGGTAAATACATACTACACCTTATATTTTTCTCCCTTGTTAATCAGTGTTTTTATATTTTGCTACAAATATTATTATCTGTTCTATACTGCGAGGTTGCTTCTCTTCATGTTTAGTTATAAAAGTTATTCTACATAGCAAAATGGTTATAATAAATAAAAATAGTAATCATAATTTTGTAATTAACATTCATATATATAACATTTCATTTAAGTCATTAACTTGAATAAATGAACTTATTATAGAGAATTCAGGTGCAGTTACAATTGAAGGGGAAAACTACGAAGTAGTCGATGAATGTATTGAACAAGAGGGTACATCTAATAATACGAAAAAAAGCTCTGTAGAGGAATCTGTAGGTGTAGAAAATAAAAATACAGATGTTACATTACCAGATGAAACCACAACAAATGAAAACTTAAAAGAAGATGAAAATATATCACCTGTAGATTTAACAGACATGTCGCCAGATAATTTGAACATTAACAATAATGATCAAAGTAATATGTTAACTGAAGACAGCAGTTGCTTGCAACAACCAAATTCAGGCTCAACTGATTGTACGAACGATTTGGACCAGTTGAATGAAAAAAAAGATGCAACGGATGAAGATGTTCTACATAATTTAGATAAAATTGAACATGCAATTTTAGATTCTTCAGACATTGAAACAAAACAGAATACTCAATCACAAGAAAAGGATACTTCACCTAATTCAGAAGACGATAAATCTAAAGAAACATATGAAATAGATAATAATAGTAATATTGATCAGAATACGTCTTGTAAAGATAATGTACATATCAATGAAAATTCTAATGAAATATTAAAAACTGTAAAAGCTGAAGTGAATGATTGGTATGAGAAAAAGGTAATGTATAATGCAGAACATAAAACTATCAGAAAGTGATGTTCGAGCACTATACATATTTTATATAAACTTTATTGTTTAAAATCATTAGTTTACGTGTATAATCTCTTGTAGCTTGCTGAAAAAGAGGCAATAATACTAGAACGGTTGTCAAAAATGGCTAGAGTTTTAGGCATTTCTTATCCATGTTACGAAAAATGGTTAGAATGGGAAGAAAAAGTGAATGGAACTCCTTTATGCAAACTGAAACCAGCTCGACATTGTTGCTTGAAAAAGCCATATACCAACCGTTGGAAATTCATCTGTAAGTATGTGCCATTATTTCTGTTTTTACATTTACAAGTTTTACCAACAATTTCATACTAATATACAATGAAACGAAGAAAACAGTAATAAAACTAATATTTTTGTTAAGTACTTTATACTATAAATTATGACTGACAAGGAGGAATCTCTAGCTATAAGGCTGGCTCTTTGATAAGCCTTGCACGATGATGATAGAGCTTGAAATACTGAAGCTAATCGTACCTGGTTTTGGAGATAGACAGTTAATAGTTTAAGAGATGGTAACAATTAAAGTTTATTCGTCGATGACACTTTCAACAACCTGTTTGGGGGTGCAGATAAATGTCCGACTGCAGAGTGTATGCCAATATTTCGGACCTATATTTGAATAACGGCGTACTTACTTTTTTTTTCAGTAATTACATTTTTTTAAATTGCTACTTCACTTACAGTCTATCATTGTCAATATTTATTTGCAGTATAAATAGTGAATATTAAAAATATTTTAACTTGAAATATACTTGAACATTTACGATTCTAGGTTTATGTGTGGTACAATATTTTTTCTACCTATAGTTTGCATGCATGTACATGTTATTACAGCAAAAATTGGCATATGGAATATCTATGGGTGGTGCAAATACAAAAAGTAACCAAAACATAAAGAGACATAATAACACGAACATCTTATGAACGTTCTACTGGAATATTTACAGAACGCATATGTTTTTCTATAACATTGAATCTTCTAATATATTTCTGTTCTTCACGCAGTTTTACATCCTTAAATTTAAGAAAAGATAATTAATATAAACGTACATAGTGATACTTTCAATGAAAAAAAATCTATTCAAAACGTAAATATCCTTTGATTTTGATTCTTACCACCCAAAGATACACCACTCTTTGCAGTAATCATTTATTGTAGGTAAGAATATACGAGCATGCATTTTATGACTACGTGCACCGAAGGTAGAAAAGATACTGTACCACACATAAACCTAAAATCGTAAATTTTCAAATATATTTCAACCTAAAGTATTTTTAATATTTATTATCGATACTGCAAACAAGTATTGACAATTGTAAGTAAAGTAGAAATTGAAAGCAATTAATTAATGAAACAAATTTAAGTATGCTGGCTGCGTCAAGAAGGTTGTGACAGCATCGTAAACTTTAATTAATAATATCTTGTAAACTATTAACCGTCTGCATCCCAAAATCGGGAAGTCTTATCTTCAGTATTTCAAGCTCTATCATTATGCAAAAGCTCGTCAAAAAGTCAGTGTTACTCCTTGAAACCTCTCCCTATGTGAAAAAAAAACTTCACCATAATCTAGACAGACCTAATTTATACTAATATAATGTTCAAAATTCAAATCAAGTTGCCAATTCTTTCTTTTTCCCGACAATAATAGGGAATGGCATTTAATCTTTTGTGTTCAGTTTCTATTTTTGTTTTCATATTTACAAGTAAGGAGCATAACTAAACTGATAACCACAGCTTTTGTATATTATTTGTCATAAAGAGTAAGGAATATGAAAAATAAACATAACATTTACAATTATTATAGTTAGAGAAAACGTAAACAATTTTTTAACATTATCAATCTTTTTTGTTTATTTGTAACAGTAAAAATTGCTTGACTGAGTTTTGCACCATGTATTGAACAGGGTAATATTTCAGCTTTAAAACGTTATTAGTATTTTGTTCACATTACAATTTCGCTTTAAAAAGAGCATTAGTACACCTTGGAATAGTCTTTACTAGATTTTGACAATAATCCGGAGATATTTGTTCCCATTGTTCCTGAATTATATTACGCAATAGCGTAATTGATTCTACTAATGAGTCGTACGAATCACGCATCCGTCTTTGTAATAATCCTCATAGATTTTCTATATCGATAAGGTCGGAGCCTTGTGCAGGCCAATCCAAAACCGAAAATCTCTGAATTCTCAGCAAATTTTATATACTTTTAGCTGTCCACTTAGGGTACTCATCATATTAAAATACATTTTCTTTAAGAAATGTCATATTTTCAACAATCTTTAATAAATGTGGCTGTAAAATATTTTTATACATATACTGGTTCATTGCACCTCGTATTCGATACACTGGACGAATGCCAAATGCAATCATGCGCCTTTGTTCGTATCTGGCGTCAATTTTTTCGATTGCTCTCATGTTGAAGATAACGTATAAGAAATTTGACGTGTTGATAATCCATTATTTAGAAGAGAAATGATTTTTGTAATAGCACTAACTTTCCCGTTCAAAAACCAACGGCAAACTAGTATTAAGGCATGGGTATACCTTTCTTATGTGAACACTAGTAGACGCAAGATAATGTAAAAGTAAGTATTTTTCCTTGTAGACACTGAGTTCAATCTTACTTGTACAATATGGTCTAAAACTGAATCAGTGAATACTTCTTGTTCCAGATACATGAAGAAGGGTTCGAAAATGTTTAAACATTTTTACGTTAACTTTAACCATGCATAATGTGTTCGTAATGTTGATTGTTTGTATCCCTTACTGTTCATGACAATAAGTAACGATTAATATGAAATCTGACATTACTGGTTCAATTATGCTCTTTACTGTAAATAGAACTCAATAATTAAAAAGTATCATTTACATATTCAGAATTACTACTATATAAGAAAAAGTTATTGACATTACAATTTGTTGTAGATCGTAAATCGAGTAAAAATTATTATATGTGCTAACTGTTACTGAATACAGCTGTACAATACAAAAAACACAAGCACATTATGTAACATTAATAGTGTTGCTTACATTTGTAAATTTCATAACTTAATCAAAATAAGACTTACGTAAAAAACCTTCACAGAATTCTGGTTGTTTTATATATGTTAAACATTTTATATTTATTTTATTACATCACTATTCTCTTGTGGCACTATTATTTTGTTCAATCCTTTTGAATATTTTTTATGCAATATGATACAACCATTTTATTTACAACAGTTCGCGTAAATATACTATTTCTTCAGAAGGTCATGTGGAGATGAATGTATGAATTAATAATTAGGCATAATTGTAACAAATTTATATATAGCAATTCACTCTAGTTCTAACCAGTGAATTTCATGTAAACAGTTGCTTACTATTGAAAGATCTATGTACCACTTTTTTACAAATATGTATATTTTCATTTACAATCTCTTTTGTAAGAAACTCAATGTGTACATTTTCTGCATCCTTCTCAGGCCAATCAATTTGAGGTATTGTTTTATGAATCTATAATACACCAACTTATTCAGAGAGAAATGCTAGAATATTAGAAGTATGCATGACCACCAGGCAAGAAAGTTTCAGATCTGTAAATTCATGCTTAATCAGGCAAATATCGCATAAACCTTTTGTTGTAATATATCTAAAAAACTAGTGTACTCTTTTGTTAATAATATTGTATGCCACATGGGGTTAGATATATCTTGCACAGTTTATGCACTTTTATTTGCAAATTACATATGGACAAGAAACGTGAATTTATAGACCAGATTTTTATAACAAACTATTAAGCAATCACAAACTGAAACTGAGGAATTGAAAGACTTACAAGTATTATACAATGCCGGGAACTGTACAAGTTTTGGCTAACACATAGAAGATTAAATTCGTTATCGAACTTTTAAATTTTTATAAATGAAGTACAAGTTATGTTTCAGAAAAACTACAGTATACTCGATAAATAACAGAAGTTCTTTTATAGAAAAGTTGAAGTAAAAAGAAGTTGTTTTTTTTTTATAGAAAAAGGAAACAAGCGACAACTCTTGTACTTAAGAAACAGAAAAATATGTACTTAAATCATTGGGTAATTCCACGCGAAATTAGACACTTTTTGGAGTTATTTCGAATTTTATTAAAACTTGGATATGTTGTAGTCTTCAGTAATATACAAACGCATTTCAAAGGAATTTGAAAATTTTTAAAATTGTTGATTTTACAGATGTTTGAAATATAATCATTTTTCAGTAAATCATAACTGTTGAACTAACAAACGGATCAAAATGAGCTTTGTGGGTGCTTACAATAGAGACATAAGAATACCTAGTAAAATTATTTCGATTTAAGAGAACATACTTTTTAATCATCTATATTTTGCAATTGTTTGAAAGAAATGCAATTTTATAATAGCAGGGCGACATTGATAATTTTACAAAAGAATGAGAATATAGTCCTATTTATCCTTTTCAAGGACAAATTTTCAAAAATATGGACACTAAAATTGGCTATATAAAAAGTAACTGACGTTAACGCTGCATCGACAGTTCATCGGCTCGATTGCAACATATCCAAATGTTCAGTGACAACAAAATCCGAAATGTTACTTCAAAAATGTCTGATTTCGCGTGAAATGACCCCAATATAAGATGTACATAATACATTAGGGAAAAGTACATTACATAATTTATATGATGAAAATAATACTCCTCTGTTTTAGTATCCTAAAAGTAGTAGTTTTGTATTATAAATAGTACAAGTGATAATCATATTTCCTTAATTATATGATGACATTAATGTAATATGTTTAGGTAGCAAAAAGAAGGTTCAAGAAGCTGCAGAAAAGATAAACGATGCTGATACTTCTCATATAACAAATACAGGAGCAGTTTGGAAACTGGAACCAAGTGGAGCATGGGGCGTTAATATAAATAATGAAAACGAACTTCCACCTTTTGTGTTGCATTCTGTAAAGGTATATAATTTTTTTCTATTTGGACAAAATTCGGTCATGAATATAATAAATTTAATACAGTAGATGAATTCCTTTGTAAAATGTAATTGAGCAGAAGAAAGATATAAACGTATTGAGGAATATCAAGGAATTACTTTGCAAAAGTTTATTAAAGTTTAAATTTGAACAAACTTAAACATATATAATTTTTTAACATAAAAATTTGATAAGAAATTAAATGCACATACATAAAAAACGTTTTACATTATTAACACAAAATAAATCATATACAGGGTGTGGTAGTCGCAATGATGTAAATACAAATGAGCTAAATTCAGATAATGCTAATGAAAAATAAAACTTCTTCGTATGAACTTTTGCTTTAAAAAAAATCAAATTTAAAAACATAAGTACTTACTGATGTGTATAATCAACTAGTTAGTTTTACTAATTTTGGCGTTTATAAATATTTAACACGTTCCCTGCCAGACCGTTTTTTGAAGACTTCCCGTTCAAGCCGCGTGGGGCGTATACGCCCCACGCTTTACATTTGTATTATTTTTTTTCTGGCGTATGCCTTACAATAATTAAAATAGTGCAATAATCATAATTATCAAGGAAAGGTTGTATAGTTTAACATGCATAACACAACAAACCAATAAATTTATTTTTCTAGGAATTAGTTTAACAAATAACTGGCTGAACATTATTATGCCAAGCGAGTGGCATCCTCACATATAATTTTTTTATCATGCCTATATCAATTTAAAATATAACATTTTAGTTAAATTCAAGTTTGTATGCAATTACAAAGGGATGTTACGATGAACTTTGTTAAAACATGGCAAACATAAGTGTGGTTTATCCACACAACTATCGCAGAATGTTACAACTTTTACAGTGCAGTTTCTTGCCGACTGGGTATTGTATCAACGACACGCGAATAAATGACTGATCGGAATAAGAGAAATGCGGTTAAAACAAGTCACAGTAAAGAAAAATTGCCCATCACGCCGCGTGGGGCGTATACGCCCCACGATTAAATGAGGGCATCAGCAATAGTATTAAGATGTCCATAATTGACTCCATAATGAATTTTTAAAAAATTCTTCATTTTACAATGATAATACCAAATGGCTTGAACGGAAATTTCAGCGTGGGGCGTATACGCCCCACGCGGCAGGGAACGTGTTAAAGGCAGTAATGGTTGATCAATAAAAGCCTGTAATGCCATATTAGTACCAGTCTCGGTTAAAACTAAAAGTAGTTAGTAAGAGGAGGACGTACTAACCGGTCAATCGATCTATTTATACAATATTTAGTCGATCGATGTATGTATGCAGGGTGTCTAAAAAATGATTCTCTTCCGGGAAATGAGGGGTTCCTGTAATGATTTGAAACCACTTTTTTCTTAGCGAAAATGTTATCTGAGGGTTTGTTAACGAGATATTAACGCAAAACCCCGTCCAATCAGAGCGCGAGTTTGCCAGCCGTGTTCCCGCGCTAGCGGTGGCTACGCGCTACGCTTGTACTATGACGCTCTGAACAAGCAAGTCATTTAAAATAAGGAATGAATAAAACATAAATGTAAGGAAATCGTGTGTAACATAAAAAGACGAATACACAATTATTTTTTTAAACAGAATCGAAAATAATACTTATTTGAAGATAAAAGCCAAGAAATATGTAAATATCCTTTTCAAAATCACGTATTAACGAAAAGGTAATGTAATAGTAATCGTAGTTCGTTATTGACATAAGAATCCGTAGTTCAGTAACGGGCTACAATGATACTGATTACAAATAATTGTCTTTAAGAAACCCGCAGAAAAATGTACATACGGAAACTGGCAGAATTATTGCCGTGAAAAAGTCATAGGTTGCGTTAAATTAAAAAAATAATAATCAACAATAAATTGAATAGAACTCACCCTTTCGGAAATTCACCTGCAGCTTGTAGACGTGTGTCAGTAGGTCACTGTACCGATCCTGATCATCGACGGACGAAATGGTTTATGGTGGGTGACAGCTAGTGCATAGCTGGTTGCAGGTATACGGCACCACCGAAAGACGTAGTGACAAGTGCGCTCGGGTCAACGCACTGACGGTTTTTATTTCACTGTATGGTCACTAACACTGTCCACTTGTCAGAATCATATTATTTACTTTAAATAGATTTGTTATTTAGCGTGTAGCTCCTACGTTAATTTATTGTTATAGAGGAATGTGTTGCTCCTACGTTAAGAAAAGTACCAAAATATTCGTACGATGAATACGATGTTTCACCGTCAAAGTATAAATATTTAATTGTTTAATTTTTAATTACACTATACATTATAATTATATTATAATTTTTTTATATTTGTGTAAATTACAAATTATCATTAACACTTTGATATTGTTTTTAACCTTATTGAATTTAAAAATGATTTTTGGACTTGACAGAAATTTATTCACAAAGGTTGATTCTTGTGGATTGAAACGATATAAGAATCAATTGAATACGATAAATAGTTTTCGAGATATAAATTCACAAGTACAAGCCATTTTCACGAAAATAATGAAATGCAAAAGGCGGTATTTGTTGAACGAATTGTTTTCCTTGTGAAATTGTACGATGGCATTTCTGCAAAACACATGTGCGTTAGTTAGCGTCAATGTCTTTTAAGTGGAGTCGCAAGCCGATACCTTGTAGCTCAGGGACCGTTGGAGAATTTGCAAGGGTTTTTAACCTACGTGCGATCTTGGAGGAGGGTCCGTGAGACGAAACAGATCTGGCGTTGCACGGTCGCGAAAGACCACAGTGGGTCTTTCGGCTATCGGTGGCCTACAGGAACGTTTATGTGAAACAGATGCGTGAAAGTTAGAGGGTGGCAAACAGTCCGATATTGCGTTGCTTTGCGAGTAAGGACATTGTTCCTGGAGGATCTGGCTGGCACTCTCGCTGGTAAATTTATGGGATTTCAAGGGTGGTTTTGAGAAAAGCAGTTATTGTGCATTGGTTGTTTGCCCGCTCGCATCTTGCGAGTTGCGTGACGTAAGCGGTCCACAATCAGAAAACCGTCATAAATTGTCATTGGTCCTAACATATTCTCACCTAAAGTTTTACTACGGAGTTTTGGGGGTAGAAGAAGCTCCTTAGAAAAAATCACAGACAGATCTCGTGACATCAGTTATGATCGACATTCAGTGACAGTGAAACATGTATTTGTTGCACGAATATTTTGGTATTTTTCCTAACGTAGGAACAACACATTCTTCTATAACAATAAATTAACGTTAGAGCAACACGATAAATAACAAAACTATTTAAAGTAAATAATATGATTCTGACAAGTGGACGGTGTTAGTGACCGTACAGTGAAATAAACATCGTCAGTGCGTTGACCCGACCGCAGTTGTCACTACGTCTTTCGGTGTTGCCGTATACCTGCGATCAGCTGTGGACTAGGCGCTACCCTACCAGAAATCACTTGGGACATAAGCAGCCAGGATCGACACAGTGACCTACTGACACATGTTTTCACGCAGCAATTGAACTTCTTAGTCAAAGGGTTGACATTCTTTCAAAACTTCAAAGAGTGTTGAGTGGTCAGTGTTAGTGACTGGTAGTAACGTGACTATTTAGTGCGTTGACTCGACCGCACTTGTCAATACATTTTTCAGTGGTGCCGTATACCTGTGACCAGCTGTGCATTACCTGTCACCCATCATAAACCATTTCGTCCGTCGATGAGCAGGATCGGTAGTGACCTACTGACACAGGTCTACAAGCTGCGGGTGAATTTCCGAAAGGGTGAGTTCTATTCAATTTATTGTTGATTATTATTTTTTTAATTTAACGCAACCTATGACTTTTTCGCGGCAATAACTCTGCAAGTTTCCGTACGTACATTTTTCTTCGGGTTTCTTAAAGACAATTATTTGTAATCAGTATCACTGTAGTGCGTTACTGAACTACGGATTTTTATGTCAATAACGAACTATGATGACTATTACATTACCCTTTCGTTAATACGTTATTTGAGAAGGAAATTTACAATTTAACATAATTGTGTATTCGTCGTCTTTTTACGTTACACATGATTGTCGTACATTTATTTTTCATTCATTCATCACTTTAAATGACAAACGAAAGATGATAAAAAGTTCGATTTATGTTTTTCTTATTTGCTTTTATACGCGGTTTTCTGGGATGCATGCCAACTTGCTTGTTCGGAGCGTCATAGTACAAGCGTAGTGCGTAGCCACCGCTAGCGCGGGAACTCGGCCGGCAAACTTGCGCTCTGATGGGTCCGGTTTTTTCGCTAATATCTCGTTAACAAAGCCGCAGCTAACAGTTTCGCTAAGAAAAAAGTGGTTTCAAATCACCTCAGCGCAACCCCTCATTTTCCGGAGGGGACACTTTTGAGACACCCTGTATATACAGGGTGTTCGACAACTAGTGGGAAAAAATTTAAGGGGTGATTCTTTGAGGCAAAATAAGACGAAGATCAAGAATAACGAAATTGCGAAAAATGCTTCGTTTGTTAGTTATAAGAGTTTAAAAATTGACCGAAATCATGGCAATCCGCGCGCACGGAGTGTCAGCGGATCACGGCTCAACAGGGGCGTACAGTCACTTTAAAGACTCAACGACGTGCAGGAACAGTCGGTAGAACAG